GCCTTGGATGCGCCAGCGTTCTCGTCAGCGTTGCACTGAAGCAGCTTCTTGATCGCCGCGTCGGGTTTCTGGCAAAATTTCTCCCAGCCAAAAGCCTTCGCCAACCGAGCAGTGAGCGACAACCACGTCCACTTGCTTGGCACAGAGGCTGGCATGATGAACTCCTCTGATGGCACCGGTGGACGGGTGAACCGGTGGACCCGTGGACCAGTGGACCAATGGACCGGTGGACTGGTGGACTGGTGGACTGGTGGACCGGTGGACCAGTGGACCAATGGACCCATGGACCGATGGACCAGTGGACGAATGTACCGGTGGACCGGTGGACCGGTGGACCGGTGGACCGGTGGACGGGTGGACCAACGGACTGGTGGACCGGTGGACCCGTGGACCGGTGGACCGGTGGACCGGTGGACCGGTGGACGACCCGTGGACGACCGGTGGACGACCGGTGGACCGGTGGACCAATGGACTAGTGGACCGGTGGACCCGTGGACGACCGGTGGACCGGTAGACCGGCGGACCGGTGGACTGGCGCATGTTTTCCACCATTCTGCTTTTTGGTCCCCCCAGAAGCTACCCCCCTCCCTCCCCCCTTTTTGCCGCTCCGGAAACTACCACCCCCTCCACCCCTTTCCAAAGAGGAGGGGGGGCTTAGCTACCCCCTCCCCCCTTGGACCCCCTCTGCTGGAAGCTATAGCCCCCCCCTCCTCCCTTTTTTGGTCCCCTCCGGAAGCTACCCCCCCTTCCCCCCCTTTTGCCGCTCCAGAAGCTACCCCCCCCTCCCCCCTTTCCAAAGGGGGGCGGGGCTTAGCTACTCCCCCCCCCCCCTCTGAACCCCCCCTGCTGGAAGCTACCACCCCCTTCCCTTGAACTCCCCCTGCCGGACGATCCTCCCCCGTCGGCGTCGTCGTTGCCGTCGCCGTCGCTCGACGTCTTCGTACGACGCCGTTGTCGTCCCCGTCGTCGTTGTCGCCGCCGTCGCCGTCATTGTCGCCGTCTTCGCATGACCTCGTCGCGGTCGTCACGACGAGGACGAGGTCATGCGAAGACGGCGACGGACGACGGACAACGGACGACGCGCGACTGACGACCGACGACGACGACGACCCAGGGTCAGAGAAAACGAGACCACGACTGCAGGGGCTGAGAAAACGAGGAAACAAAGCAGGGTCCGAGCAAACGAGACCACGACCCAAGGGCAAAGAAGACGCGAAAACGAACCAGGGTCCGAGAAAACGAGACCACGACCCAGGGGCCAAGAAAACACGAAAACGAACAAGGGTCCGATAAAACGATACCACGACCCAGGGGGCGACAAAACGAGACAACGAGAAAAGCCCGAGAAAACGAAACCACTACCCAGGGGCCGAGAAAACGAGACAACGAGAAAACGAACCAGGGCCCGAGAAAGCAAGAACACAACCCAAGGGCCGAGAAAACAAGAAAAACGAGATCACGAACCAGGGCCCGAAAAAACGAAACAAAAACCCGGAAGCCAAGAAAACGAGAAAACGAAACAATGAACCAGGGTCCGAGAAAACACGATAACCACCCAGGGGCCGAGAACACGAGAAAACGACAAAACAAACCAACGTCCGAGCAAACGAGACCACGACCCAGGCCGAGAAAGCGCGAATATCGGTTCTAGAAAACGAGACCACGACCCAGGGGCCGACAAAAACGAGGCAACGAGAAAACAAACCAGCGTCCGAGAAAACGAAACCAGAACCCAGGGGCCGAGAAAACAAGAAAACGAGAACACTAACCAGGGTCGGAGAAAACTGGACCACGACCCAGGGGCCGAGAAAACAAGAAACGAGAACACGAACCAGGGCCAGAGAAAACGAGACCACGACCCAGAGGCTGAGAAAACGAGGAAACGAACCAGGGTCAGAAAAACGAGACCACGACCCAGGGGTACAGAAAACGAGAAAACAAAAAAAAAAAACATGGCCCGAGAAAACCAAACCACGACCCAGGGGCAGAGAAAACGAGAAATCGAACCAGGGCCCGAGAAAACGAGACCACGACCCAGGAGCCGAGAAAACAAGAAAAAGAGAAAACGAAACGGGGCCCGCGAAAACGAGACCACGACCAAGGGGCAGAGAGAATGCGAAAACGATAAAACAAACCAGAGTCTGAGAAAACTGGACCACGCCCGAGTGGCCGAGAAAACAAGAAAACTAAAAAGCGTCCGAGAAAACTGAACAGCGTCCGAGAAAACAAGACCACGACCCAGGGAACGATAAAACAAGACAACAAGACAACGAATCAGGGTCCGAGAAAACGAGACCACGACCCAGGGTCCGAGAAAACAAGACAACGAACCAGGGGCCGAGAAAACGAGACAAAAACCCAGGGGCCGAGAAAACGAGAAAACGAGAAAACGAACTGGGCCCGAGAAATCGAGACCACGACCCAGGGGCCGAGAAAACGAGAAAACGAAACAACGAACCTAGGCCCGAGAAAACGAGACCTCGACCCAGGGGCCGAGAATACGAGAAAACGAAAAAACGAACCAGTGTCAGAGAAAACTAAACCACAATCCAGGGGCCGAGAAACGGAGAACACGAGAAACCGAACCAGGGTCCGAGAAAACGGAACCACGATCCAGGGGCCGAGAAAACAAAAAACGAACCAGGGTCAGAGAAAAAGAGACCACGACCCAGGGGCCGAGAACACGAGAAAACGAGAAATTTAACAAGGGTCCGAGGAAAAATAACACCACTACCCAGGGGCCGAGACAACGAGAAAACGAGATCACGAACCAGGGCCCGAAAAAACAAAACACACACACACACACACAAAAAAACATAAAAAAAGCCGAGAAAACGAGAAAACGAAACAACGAACCAGGGCTCGAGAAAACGAGACCACGACCCAGGGGCCGAGAACAGGAGAAAACGAGAAAACAAACCAAAGTCCGAGCAAACGAGACCACGACCCAAGGGCACAGAAGACGCGAAAACGAACTAGGCTCCGAGAAAACACGACCACGACCCAGGGGCCGACAAAACGAGAAAACGATAAGAGGAATCAGAGTCCGAGAAAACGAGACCACGAACCAGGGGCCGAGAAAACAAGAAAACGAAAAAACGAACCGGAACAGAGAAAACGAGACCACGACCCAGGGGCCTAGAAAACAAAAAAACGAGAAAACAAACCAGACCCCGAGAAAACGAGACCACGACCCAGGAGCCGAGGACATGAGAAAACGCGAAAACGACCCACGACCGAGGGGCCGAGAAAACGACAAAAAGAGAAAACGAACCAGAGTCCGAGGAAACCAAGACCCAGTGTCCGAGATCACCAGAAAACGCTTGGTTCGAGAAAACGAGACCACGACCCAGGAGCAGAGAAAACGAAGAAACGAGAAAACGAAGGAAACGAAGCAGGGTCAGAGAAAACGAGACCACCACCAGGGGGCCGACACAACGAGAAAACGAGAATACTAACCAGCGTCCGAGAAAACAAAACCACGACCCAGGGGCCGAGAGAACGAGAAAACGAAGCAGGGTCCGAGAAAACTGGACCACGACCCAAGCGCCGAGAAAACAAGAAAACGAGAACGCGAACCAGGGTCAGAGAAAATAAGACCGCGACCCAGGAGCCGAAAACACGAGAAAACAAGAAAACAATCCAGGGGTCGTGAAAATGAGAAAACGATAAAAGCCATCAGAGCCCGAGAAAACGAGACTACGAACCAGGGGCCGAGAAACCAAGAAAACAAGAAAACAAAACTGGGGTCGACGTTATTCTCCAATTCGTTCTCTAGCGCTGCGGTGCACACCTGTCGTCAGGGATTCCGCCATTTTGCCAGAGCCCCGGAAGGGAGGAGGGGGGGAGATAGCTTCGGAAATCCCCACCCCCTATGCACAGGAGGGGGAAAGGGGTTGCTTGAAGCCGCCCCCCGTGTCCAGACCAAAACAGGAAGGAGGGGGGCGTAGCTTCCGCAGCCCCCCCCCCCTTTGAAAGGGAAGCCCGGGCACACCGTCTGCTCCGGAAAAGAGAGGGAGGGGGGGGGATAGCTTCGAAGCCCCCCCGCCTGTAGCCAGGGCCCCCCTAGCTTAGAAACCCTTACAGAAGGGAGGGGGGAAGCTTCGGAAGCTCCCCCCCCCTTTCGAAGGAAGGGGGGTGGTAGCCTGAAGCTGGGTCCCCCCTTTTAGTATTGAGTTCCGTACGGGCGCGCTCATATATTAGTCGTAGTATGAGTATTAGTAATCGTATTATTATGAATATTAGTAGTCGTGTTATTAGTAGTAATAATAGTCGTATTATGAGTATTAGTAGTATTAGTAGTCGTATGATTGTTCACACTACGATCACTATTCCTAGAAACATTAAATAAAATTATTGTTCCGAATACTACTATGAGTACTCATACTGTAAGTAGGATTAGTAGTGGTAGACGTATTATGAATAATATGCATAATACAGTATTATTATCTACCCTCCTCCTCCTCCTCCTCCTCCTCCTCCTCCTTCTCTCCTCCTCCTCCTCCTCCTCCTCCTCCTCCGCCTCCACCATCCCCCTCCCCCTCCTCTCCTCCTCCTCCTCCCTCCTCCTCCTCCTCCTCCTCCTCCTCCTCCTCCTCCTCCTCCTCCTCCTCCTCCTCCTCCTCCTCCGCCTCCTCCTCTCCTCCTCTTCCTCTTCCCTCGTCCTCTTCCTCCTCCCTCCTCCTCCTCCTCCTCCTCCTGCCTCCTCTCCTCCTCCTCCTCCTCCTCTCCTCCTCCTCCTCCTCCTCCCTCCTCCTCCTCCCTCCTCCTCCTCCTCCTCCTCCTCCTCCTCCTCCTCCTCTCCTCCTCCTCCTCCTCCTCCTCCCCTCCTCCTCCCCTCCTCCTCCTCCTCCTCCCTCCTCCTCACCTCCTCCTCTCCTCCTCCTCCTCATCTCCTCCTCCTCCTCCTCCTCCTCCTCCGCCTCCTCTTTCGTTTCCTCCCTGCGCTCCTCCCTCCTCCCACAGTCCACCCCCCCCCACTTCCCCCCCCTGAGACGGTCCTCCACGAGCGCCGCGGCGGGCAGGGCCGCGGCGCGCTCCTCCGCCAGCGCGGGCAGGCGGGCCTGACGGCCGCCAGGGCGGGCGGGGGCCGCGCGGGCGCGACCCTCCAGGAGGGGGGGGGGGGGGGGAAAGGGCAGGGAGGGAGGGGAGGGAAGCAGGGACGAGGAGAGGAGAAAGGAGGGGGAGCAAGGAAGAGGAGAGGGGGGGAGAGGGAAGAAGAGAGGGGGGAGGAGGGAGGGGAGGAGAGGAGGGAGGCGGGGAAGGGAAGGGGGGAGGGGAGGGGAGATGAGAGGAGGGGAGGAGAACAGGAGAGGACGGGAGAGGAGAGGGATGCAGGGAGGGAAGCGAGGAGGGGAGAGGGAGGCAGAAAAGGAGGTAAGAGGGAGGAGGGAAAGGAAGGAGAAGAGAGAGGAGGAGGAGGAGGAGGAGGAGGAGGAGGACGACGACGACAGGAAGTCAAGTCAGGAAATCAGACCGAATCGGAATGTGCGTCAGATCGGGGCCGCACCGGCGCGGGGCCAAGATCGAATCGGATCGGCTGCACCTGGATGCGCAGTAGCGCCATGCAGGCATCTGGCCACCCCCGGTCGTCGGAGCGGAGCATCGGGGCCGAATCGGACCAGGCTGGCCGAGACCGACACCAAATCGATTATCAAAATGGAACCTTGGAGGAGGAGGAGCAAGAGGAGGAGGAGGAGGAGGAGGAGGAGGAGGAGGAGGAGGCGCAGGAGGAGGAGGAGGAGGAGGAGGAGGACAAAGCTGCTTCTCGCTTCTTTTGGTCCTCCTCCCCTGCTGTTTGCCCTCTCGGGTCGTCCCCTTCCGTCAGTCTCCCTCTCCTCCTGGGGCGGCCCCCCCTCGTAGTTGGTGTGCCACCTCTTAACACGCGCTGAGCCCACGGGTCGGCACCGGAGCTTCTCGGACCTTCCTCCTCCTCCTCCTCCTCCTCCTCCTCCTCCTCTCCTCCTCCTCCTTCCTCCTCCTCCTCCTCCTCCTCCCCTCCTCCTCCTCCTTCTCCTCGTCCTCCTCCCCCCCTCCTCCTCCTCCTCCTCCTCCTCTTCCTCCTAGGTGTGGCTGCGCTCGACGAACCCCATAACCATCAGGAACCAGGAACCAGGAACCAGGAGGACGAAGTGCTCGCCCGCACCATGGTACAGTGAGCCTCATACTCTGCATCGGAGCCGCACGGGCCCCACCTGAGGGAGAGGAGCACAAGAACTGCAGCGGCAACGGGAAGCGCACCTACTGAGCCTGACATTGCCCACCTCACCCATGGGGACGTACGCAATGCAGCGAGCCAACTACAGTCAGTTTCTCTCAGTCGGTGGTGCCAAGACTGCCGCGCGTGACTCACACTGTCTCCCAGGGGTCTCTGCGCATAGGCCATCCCCTCACCTTGGGGACCTCCTGCCGCCCGCACCAGTTGGCAGTATGCCATCTTGCTTCCATGCCCTTCTCAGCCTCCACAGGGGCCATCGGCGTGCCCCCCACTGGTCGAGCATACCACGGCACAATGTGTTCATGCCCACGTACGGCACGATGCTGGCGCAGCACAGCCGACACTCTCCGCGGCTGTCTGGTGTCGTGCTGCACTTAGGCCGACACTGCCGCAGCGACTCCCATTCACCTTGGCAGCCACATGCAGTTCACAGCAGCCAGCGGCATCTCCACAATGGGTGGCAGGATTCTCTTGAGGATTGGGGGGGGGCGGGTTGACAGCCAGCGCACTGGCACTCTCAGTGATGCCACAGAGTACAAGACAGGGCACATCACCTGCTGCACTCACTCACGCACGTAGGACAGGATTCATCTCCCATTGCATGTTTCGCCAAAACCCCATCCAATTAATATTGCATACCCTTTTGCTCGCTGAACCGCTACTCCGCGCGCCTGTCCGCCCACCTACCTTTAGGTCGGGCATGTCCCCCTACAGGTGGATTTTGGACGACAAACAAATAATCAACAATATTCCAAAAATAAGCGAAAAATGCTCAAAAAATCGTCCCCTGACTATTCTTCAACTATTTTCAAATACTCCTCATGTAAAGGGACAGGCCCGACTTAAACCTACCTTACCTGCCCTTGAGGCGACGATACCTCTGCAGAAGCCACGTATTAAAGACGACAGCTCCTGGCCAAGATCACGCACTCATTCTGGGGATTGCAGGCGGGGGCGCCGACGCGGGCGGCGACGCGCTTCGAACGCCAACGCTGCAGGATTGACGACGACGCGAGGCCGCGACCGGCTGGTCTCCTTACGGGCCAATACTTCAAGCCCCACAGAGGCTGGACTGCCCAGGCTCGGCCTTGGCCCAGTTTGCCGCCGGCGCCGACCACGCCACTCGTGCCAGAGGGGAGGGGCGTTGGCGGAATGGGCCACGGCAGGGAGATGAGGAGGAGGAGGAGGAGGAGGAGGAGGAGGAGGAGGAGGAGGAGGAGGAGGAGGAGGGGAGACGGAGGAGGAGGAGGCGGAGGGGCGGAGGTGGCGGAGGAGGCGGAGGAGAGGAGGCGGAAGCGGAGGAGGCGGAGAGGCGGAGGAGGAGGAGCGGAAGAGAAGATGAGGACGAGGGAGGAGGACGAGGACGAGGAGGACGAGGAGGAGGACGAGACGAGGGGAGGAGGAGGAGGAGGAGGAGGAGCAGGCGGAGGAGGGGAGGAGGAGGAAGAGGAGGCGGAGGAGGAGGAGGAGGACGACGAGGAGGACAAGGAGGACGAGGAGGAGGAGGAGGCGGAGGAGGAGGAGGAAGAGGAGGAGGACGAGGACGAGGAGGAGGAGGAGGAGGCGGAAAAGGAGGAGGACGAGGACGAGGAGGACGAGGAGGACGAGGCGCGGCACCGGCACCATCCAACCCTGGGCCTCCGCGGGCGGCCGGCCCCCCCCCCGCACCACGGGGGCCCCGCGCCACACGAGGCAGCGCGACGCGACGCGGCACGCCCGCAGCCAGCTTGCGCTGGACTTACGTCGGGCGAAATACTCAAAAAAAATACAAAGATAGGCGAAAAACAAAGATAACAAATAACAAATATACCATGATACAAACATTACATTATACAAAGACCAAATAACGAAGTTGTATCAAACCAAACAAAGATAACAAATAACAAAAGACTTGCACTTAGACGAAAGATGCATAGTTCAACAAATCGTCCCTGGACTATCGTTTGGCTGTTTTTGAGTTCTCCCCCTGCAGAGGGGCAGGCCCAATTTAACACTGGACAAGGTTGCATGCCCCAGGCTACAGAGGGCGCTTTCCCGAGGGATCGAGCGAGTCCTTCGCCCGCCTACACTAGCTTGTATTTACCAGCTTGCGTTCAGCATCCCATCTGGCTCGATAAGTGTTCGACGCTCGCCTCGTCCGACCATCTATACAGTTAGAACGCCATGCCAGCCTGCACTGGCAGAGCACGCCTGTGAATACGGGCGCCCTGTCCAATGCCACCAAATCCCCGCAGCGTTCTAGCTGGCGTGGGGGCACATTCTCATCTGCGCGGTGGACGCAGGGCGGCGGATCACGAGGTGTCTGTGCGACACCTCAGCCTTGGGCCGATCTGCGCCGACAGGATCAGCCGATCAGCCGACAGCATACAGCCTATAATACCACCAGCCATTTGGACGTAGGTGGTCAAGAGTGCTTCCTCTGTTACCCCTCCTACTTCCCCTTCGGGGAGGGGTTATCACTTTTCCCCATTAATATACACCCCCTCCCCCAGGCGACTGGGAGCCAACCCGAGACCATGCGGGCTCCCCCCCCACCATCACTTGTAAAAAAATATCCCAGTGCGACCCTACCTAGGAGTTGGAGCCCCTAGGAAAGCAGCATTAGTAGTAACAGTAAAGCTAAGCTAAAGTTAAGCTAAAGCTAAGCTAAAGCTAAGCTAAAGTTAAGCTAAAGCTGAGCTAAAGCTAAACTAAAGCTACGCTAAAGCTAAGGTAAAGCTAAGCTAACGCTAAGCTAAAGCTAAGCTAAGCTAAACCGAAGCTAAAGCTAAGCTAAAGCTAAGCTAAAGCTGAGCTAAAGCTGAGCTAACGCTAAGCTAAAGCTAAGCTAAAGCTAAAGCTAAGCTAAAGCTAAGCCTAAGCTAAGCTAGATGTAAGCTAAAGCTAAGCTAAAGCTAAGCTAAAGCTAAGCTGAAGCTGAGCCGAAGCTAAGCTGAAGCTAAGCTAAAGCTAAGCTAAAGCTAAGCAAAAGCTAAGCTAAAGCTAAGCTAAAGCTAAGCTAAAGCTAAGCTAAAGCTAAGCTAAAGCTAAGCTAAAGCTAAGCTAAGCTAAGCTAAAGCTAAGCCAAAGCTAAGCTAAAGCTAAGCTAAAGCTAAGCTAAAGCTAAGCTAAAGCTAAGCTAAAGCTAAGCTAAAGCTAAGCTAAAGCTAAGCTAAAGCTAAGCTAAAGCTAAGCTAAAGCTAAGCTAAAGCTAAGCTAAAGCTAAGCCAAAGCTAAGCCAAAGCTAAGCCAAAGCTAAGCCAAAGCTAAGCCAAAGCTAAGCTAAAGCTAAGCTAAAGCTAAGCTAAAGCTAAGCTAAAGCTAAGCTACAGCTAAGCTACAGCTAAGCGAAGCTAAGATGAAGCTAAGTTAAGCTAAGCTAAGCTAGGCTAAGCTGAGCTGAGCTAAGCTAAGCTAAGCTAAGCTGAGCTCAGCTAAGCTACAGCTAAGCGAAGCTAAGATGAAGCTAAGCTAAGCTAAGCTAAGCTAAGCTAAGCTAAGATGAGATAAGCAACGCTAAGCTAAGGGGACGTACCTGGGGGAACCGCGGGGCGGGGACTGGGGGAACCGCCCGGGGCGTTTTCCACTGCCCGCCCCTTTAAGCAAACCAAGTAAGGACCCTCTAGGCAGAGCCTAGGTAGGGAACAATACAAAGCGGTGGCGGCGGCGGCGGCGGCGGCGGCGGCAGCGGTGGCGGCAGCGGCTGCGGCGGCGGCAGCGGCGGCGATTCGGCAGCGGGGGCGGCGGCGGCGGCGGCGGCGGCGGCGGCGATTCGGCAGCGGGGGCGGCGGCGGCGGCGGCGCGGCGGCGGCGGGCGGCGGCGGCGGCGGCGGCGGCAGCGGATTCGCCCCCAGTGGCTGCCCATCC